GTAATGAATTCCAGAAGGCTTTTCATTTCTCTATTCTGTCACTCTTCACCTCCTATTTCACAGCAGGCCTGGTCGCCTGAAGTCCCTGCCATCTGGCCATACTGAAGGGTTTTTGGGACAAACTTCAAAATTTTATATAAAAATCCATTGATGTAACTGCATATAAAGGGCATGTCATCATCACTACCAGCAGCAGCAGCTATAGTGTGTGTTCACCTGAACAGTAAAAAGGTACTGTAAAGTTATCTTAATGTGACTTCAGAATTAGTCATTGTATAAACAAAATCAAATTTAATAAGGCTTTTCAAGGGAAAACAGCGTCTGCATTTGCCTTGGGGGGAGGATTCTTTATCTTTTTAGGACTTTTTATTTTGAGGATAGTGGAGATGTTTTTGGATCTTGCCATAATGATAGTGACAGTGGAGGTCATACTGCAAACATTTGGTGAGAGAGGGGAATGCAAACTTGTTTTATTTTCTGATGTGTGATGGGTATTACAGGCTCATAGTTACAACCAACTGAATACCCCTCGCCCCCCTTTCCAAGAGTGTAGGATGACCTATGGTGGCTGTAAAAATTGTGATAGGTCCTCTTTAGAGCCAGTGTTTGATTTGTCCATTCTGGGCTACTGCAAAAACATGGCGGCCCCCGTGGAAGAGGACCCACTCCCCCCTTCTAAGAACATGATTGTTATTTTCAGGTCATTATACACTAATAAAAACATACCTATGAATATTATATTCCATTTCTGCCAATAGCCCCCCAAATCCTGCACACTGGTCCTTTAAATACGCATTGACTTCATAGACAGACTTGCAGGTTGGGGTGGCTGTGCAGGCGACATTGTGGATCAGCAGCTATTCAGATTGTCACAAGCACAGATGGAAAAACAAATGAACAGAAATGTGTCCTCAAGTGTAAATATGCATTGTAAGCTGTTCACATTATCAGATTTGCAGATGGAGGTAACATATGCACAGTAATATATGCTATCACCATGTAAAATTTACAGATGGAGTTAATATCACCGCATTATTACACCGTGAGCTGAGTGTCATGCATTTACTCACTATGTGGTTGCTGTATGTAGGGTGGCTGTTACGGTCTGGTCAGTATCTGGGCAGCTGGCAGCCTCCAGATCTCATGCTGATGAGGGAGGCAGATGCGGCCTCACCTCGCTTAGCTCTTGTTTATACAGAGGAAGTTGAATCTATCTGTCTGTTGGTTTGTCAGACTCTCCTCCCTGGTGTGTTGAGGTGTGTGACAGAGAGATGGAGAGAGATGGAGGCTGGACTGGCAGAGTGAGAGCAGACTGTCTCTCGGTAATGAATATAAATGGGCTCCAGGTCTCACTCTCCTCATCTGGCTCCCCTCTCTGAAAACAGACATGGGGTGAGGATGTGGGATGGAGGAGGCCCATCCTCCTTCCCTCCCTCTCTGCTTACTCACACACTTGCTGCATTATACATACAGAACACACACAAACACTCACAATCATACAAATGTGTTTGTGTCTTGATTTTATAGTGAGTGCTCGGTGGTCCCAGTTCAGCCGAAACAGCTGTTAGGGAGACTCATCATGGTGTTGTCAAAGTAACTTTGTAAATGAAAGATAATGTGTTACTGTAATCTTTCTATTTTGCTCTTCTTTGGTGTATGTTGCAAATCACGTTTAAGGGACTGTTCAGATGTTACGTCTAAAACATGTGGAAAACGTCGGCTTTCATTCTTTTATTCAAGGTGTTTGGGAGGTCGTGCTACTGTCGTGCCTGTCGTCATTAAGCAACCAAATCCTGCGGGCCGCATGACGATGATGATGATGAAGTTCCGGTAATTTAGCAGTCAGCCTTACTGTCTTAACAAACTTAACTAAAAACAACAAAAATGCCCTAACTGAATGAGCTAACGTTAGCCAGCACAGCTAGTTAGTAACATAAAAACAGCGTATCATCGTGTTTACCAGTTATTCCAAATTCTGAGCTTATACAGTATCTCCAGGCATAGTTCCTTCTGTTGGTGTCAAAATAAAATGAACAGGCCAGACAGCTCTGGGTATTTCTGGATGAGTATAATCAGCTGTTCTTCATCTTCAGTTCGGCTGACCTTTCAACTTGATGTTGTTACCTCCTTGTACGGAAAAGGTGAAGCAAGTCCTGTGGAGCCTATTGGTTAAGTCTGATCACATGACCTGTGGTGCGCTTGAGATTTTTCCATCTCTGTGCACCAGAGACATATACACAACGAAAAACGAATGAAAGAATGCTCGCCATTACAGCATTGCTTTTCATTTTGAGGCGCTTGTCACGCATCTCCATTAAAAATAACGGATTAGCGTGTCCAAAAGATGCCACATCTGAACGGTCCCTAATGATAACACATAACATACCAGGAGATTGCTCTTCATCAGTGAATACATGATATTAGAGCTGAAACCATTTTGAAAAAGAATGAATAGTTTAAATGATTTATCTAGCAAAATCTCTAGATAATTATATAATGCTACTTTTCTCCTTTTCATATGATTATAAAATATATATAGTTGTGTTTTTCAATTTGTGTTTACACTGTTTCTTTTAACATTTTGTGGCATTTTAGTCCATGCTTAGTCTATATTAGTTGGAACAAAAAAGAATTTCAGTCTAACTTCATATACTAAATCACAATGTGGCATATGTGGTAAACACGTTCATGAAAACCTATACAATCTAATGCAATCAAATGAAAATGCTACGCAATAAATTCGATCTTTGTGAAGCTCATGATGTTCAATTGTTGTTTATACTTGAGGAAATACAGACCCTCTATTATAGTGCAATTCAATACAGCCCTCAGAAATTGTAGTGCTGAATCCCAACAATAACTGAACATTATAGGCTTCACAGTGTCGTATTCACTGCAGGGCCTTTCTATGTATGTCTGCAGTATGACAAGCTATTGTCTGGCTAGTTTGCTGTGTTTGTCAGTGAAGATATTAACATGTATACTGTGTAGAATCTAAAATAGTTTTCTCTTTTTCTGTATTGCTCTGCTCTGAGCACCCTTACCCTCATCCTTATTTCTACTGCTTTTTATCCAACCTACAAGGTGCTGATAGAGCCCAAGTAGCAGCAACACTCCTTATCTGAAGCACAGGACCTCCATAACCTCCTCACTTTGTCTTTTAATTGCATTTGGAGGAACACAGTCTTTGCCCAGCATACACTGTAATGTGACATTATTTATTTTCTCTATGCCGTGTGCATTATCACCTATTAGTCATTCTTCACATTCACGCCATGTCATCATCTGATTCCCATGACGAATGAACTGTCTGCAGACATTTCTTCTGAGGGAGTCCTATGATTAGCACAAGTCTCCTCCATATCTGAGAGATGTTATTGCTGCTTTCCTCCTGCCGCTCCGCTCTTGATGTTTGTCATGAAAAGGATGAAAAAACATCCTTAGCTTTATTCTGGCTAAGTGTCATCTGAGTCTATTTAGAAAGCTGTGAGGCTGTTAGCAGTGCTGCCAGTGTTGTCATGTTTTCTTAAATTGATTCCCTGTGATTACTTGGCATTTATGGCGCTCTGTAAGGGACAGGATACCAGAAAATCACTTGATAAATTGTGCTTTAGATATGCTGTGAAACAAAGCCCGGATGATGACACACACACACACACACACACACACAGAGCAACACACGTGTGCGGAAATCTGCGTATACGCCCTCACTCACTCATATGGACTATAATTAATTGCCAGGAAGTCTCAGGTAATTTAAATTGCAAATCAGTGCAGCCTTGTTCTCCCAACTTTTGTGATTAATATTTTATTGTTTTACTGAGCGAAAATGCCACCAGTGTTTTTCATCAGATACAAATAGCACAAAGAAAGAAAAGGGGGGCACTGGATTGAGGAAGATCGGATCCAGGCGTTATCTCTAAACATTAATTAAGTCGTGTCTGGGTCTGGAGCTGTCGAGGTCGCCTCTCCTGTCTACAATCCGCTTCGCGAAGACAGAGGTCTCTCTCACTTTTCACCCATTCTCTCATTTCTTCCTCTGTCTCTCTGCCTCCTCGGTCTGATACTCAGTTTCTGGCAAGTTTTCTCGGGTCTTGAACTTCTCTTTCAATCAGCCACTAATTAAGCAGGAGAATAAGGGTTTCTTTGGCAGGAGATCGGGGGGACGTGCAGGTTGAGTGAGAAAAGCCAGATCCTGAGACCTTGTGATGACTTAGGTATGAATTTTGTGGATAAGAAGTTGAGAGGAGCAGAGTGGGGAACCAGCGGAAATGAGAGATTTAGGCAGAAGAGAAATGAAGCTTTGAAACCAAACTGTCGTATGTTCCTTTTTAGTTTTCTTTTTTTAATCCTGTGAGACTGCTAGTGTAGAAAAGGACCAAAAATTAGACAAAAATAATGAGGAAGTTTCTCTTTGCGACAGATAGAAAGTGAGACGTGATGTGGCCATTGCAGGGCAAATCTCAATCGCAGCATTTCAGGATGAAAAAAATCCTGCATGCAGGTTCTTATAAAAACAACTTTGACCTTTCTTAGTCAGCACTGGCTTTAGAAAGTACTGTGTGACCTTGTGTGTGTGTTTGTGTGAGTACAGACTGGCAGCTTGAGATGAAAGTCTTTAGTCTTGCACTTCACTTAGAGCCATGGTGGACGGGTGCAGCCTGGCTGGAATCAGATGGCTGGCACAGTGCTCTGCTCCTCTCAAAGCAAAACAAAGACGAAACCAGGCGCAGACAAAGGAAGGCTTCCCCCAGTGAAGCAGAGCGCACGCCGTTGCTGTGCTTTGAATGCTGAAGCCTCCTTTAAAACAAATAAATTCATAGCCCTTACTTACTAGAAAATACCACTCAATTAGACTAACCATTCAATTAGGGATTGCCGTGACACACACAAACACAGACCCATATGCACTAGCACAGGCTCACAGCTTTTCATAGTAATGTGCTTCACTAGTTTAAAGTCAGAGTTATTTTAATGGCTGTGTTTCTGTGTCCCTACAGGGTGCCCGTAGCTGTTTTGGAGTCTGGACGTCCTGTTGTACTGGTTGCAACTGTGCGGCTCTCCATACAGCAGGTGTTGTTTCAGACGCGGCCAGCTTGACTAATTTTTGGCACCTCCCTCCCCTACACGCCCCGTACCACCTCACCCCACACCTGGCTGGTGCTCCGGCCCCATTCAGGCATCAAGGCTGGCAATGTCCAGAGTCCCAAGCCCCTCTCCCCCGGTGGAAATGTCCAGCGGTCCCGTGGCTGAGAGCTGGTGTTATACTCAGGTGAGGACTCTGTTCTCTGTGTGTGTGTGTGGGGTGTGTGTGTGGTGTGTGCGTTGTGTGTGTGTGTTCGTGTGTGGGGGTGGGGGGGTGCATGTGATTGGCTGCAGCTTATCACATTTGGTGGTTGCTTTCATTCCAAGACTTCATTCAATTTCACTTCAACAAATTGTTTATTTTGTTCTTGTTGATCAAGCACACAACTACTACTCAGTACAATGTGAGATTCTTTTTTGTTAGGAATTAAAGGGGAACTTTACCAACTAACAATCAAAGTCTGTTTACAGGTCTGTGTGCAGTGCAGCCTGCATGTGTGAACAAACAGTGTTGTGTGTAAAGCCTTTTGTGACTGTGTGAAATCTGATATTGTTGGTTGGGTGTGGGTGTGGAGTTAGAAAGTATTGAGCTTACCAGACCTCTGTAGCCTGCTCCTCATCCCTGCTTTAGGCTAGCGGATTGATGCTACATTAACCGGCACTAGTCTCTGACGTCTCTGACGGAACTGTTGGCTGTCAAGTTGCATTGTGGGTTATGGAGGTGCCATTTTTTATTAAGGAAGAAGAATGCGTGGAATAAAAAAGGAAAATATATCTCCGGCTCTGCTGCATTGATTTTGAGCAATGCAGTACTAGGAAAGGACTAGTGTGTGACATTTAGGAGGACAAATAGAATATAATGTTCATATGCACTATATGTTTTTATCTACAGCGGGTCCTCTTCCCTGGAGGTTGCAGTGTTGAACTGCCATGTCTCTACAGAAGCCAAAAACAGACAAACCACTCTCTCTAGATTAACTCTAAACACTGGCTCTAGATTGGGCCTCTCGAGTTTTGCTGCCACTGTAGTTTAAAGGGGAGGGTGAGGAGGGTTGGTTGCAATCTTATCTCCACATGCTGGTCCTTTAAGGGTGTAATCACTGATTGACAGATAGACAGATAGATGTGTTATCTACCTCATTTCTTATCTGAAAGTTGTTTGCAACACAAAAATGTGTTGTTTTCCTCAGCATGCTATAGGAGCACATTGCTACACGGAGAGCATAGCTAACAGTCTAATAGTCCAGTTTTTGTATAATGTTAAACAGAGCTAACTGTGAATAAGACAGCTGTTTGTCAAGACAGACATAGTTTGCTTTTAATTTGACAGGTAATTGTACAGTTAAATCTTTTTTTTAAACATTACCTATACTATGCAATTGTGTTTGTTCCTGGCATTGCAGTAGAGACTATGCTAGTTCAGACACCACTTTTCTGTTAAGAGCCAAGGTAGATAAAGTATGTCATTGATGATGTCTGTTTTTTCATCTCCTCTGTCTTTGCAAAATTGTTTTGTTTTTTCTGTTGCCACTTTTACAATATCCTTTCTTCTTTCCCTCCGTTTGTTGTCAGTGTTTATTAAGATGAAAGGCAGTTTTGATGTGTGGTTTTGAAGTCCAGACTGACCAAACACCACTTACCCATATAGAATAGATAAATATATAAATAAAGATATCTGGTTTTAGCTCTCGCTGTGTCTTTTCCTGCGCAGATCAAAGTGGTAAAGTTCTCCTACATGTGGACCATCAACAACTTCAGCTTCTGCCGTGAGGAGATGGGAGAGGTCATCAAAAGCTCCACTTTCTCCTCAGGAGCCAACGACAAACTCAAATGGTTAGTGAAGGCTGGTCACTTTAGCTATCAGAAATAGAGAATGGAGAACACTTTCTCCAACAACTCACTCAAGGATCATTCACTTGTTGCACCTTTGAGAAGTAGAACATTGTTTTCAAACGATTAAACCCATCAGCATCCAGTTGCCACTTTTTCATGCTTGAATTTAGTCAAATCTTCACTTTCTCACATAGCCTCAGAGTGCCAGATAAAACCATGATCAATGCCAGGATGAATGTATATGTGTTAAACATAAATTCAAGCATACTAACACAGGAAATATTTTACATATAGCCAGTTGACTAAACAGACCTGCTGTATGTTTGACATATCTCCTCTGTAGAGGAGGCAGAGTCACCTCATCTCATGAGGTCAAAGAGCTAGTCAAAACAAAAGTGGGAAGGCATTATGGGTTTGGTCTCCATCTTTAAAAAACGTCTACTCCAAATATAGAGTTGTCACACTGCTCAACCTCCCAGATTGAGATTGCAGTGCACTGAAAATGAGGCTTATTAGTCAGTAGTTAAAACACAGATTTAGCACGAGCAATATTATTTCAGTCTGCACTAATGTGCTTTGGAAGAGCTGGTGGACTTTATTGACTCTGAAGGAGACCTAGAACATAGTGGAGGGATTACTCTATCCCCCATGGCCTGAGAAGGATCCCCTGGAGGAGCAGGACAAAGTGGCTGGGATGTAGGAGCCACCTTTTTTCAGCCTGATTCCACTGCAACCTTGACTCCCATGGACTGAAACACTGATTGTTGGATTGATGAGAACTTCTGATTATGACAACAAAGTAGATCCACATGAAGAGCTGTCCTGTTTTTATTAGGTATACAGTAGGCTAGACTCAAGATACACTTGCAAGACTTAAGATAAGGATATTGAATAGTGTTGAAATAAAATGACATGACATTGTTTTTGGTTTACAGAAGAACTATCAGATAGAAGGGAAACGTCTGTATGTCACACAAAAACATGGCAATAGACATTTCAGGGGGCCAAAGGTAATGAATATAGCCGTATGTCTGGGATTGATTACCGTCTTAAATAAGAAACAAATGGAGAATTTCAAAGTACAACTTGGCTTTTCTTCAAATACCACATCAATCGAAGTTGCTTTTGAAGTGGATTATACCATCCTTTTACCAATCCGTCTTTTTCCTCCTTTAAGTGCTTAACCAAGACTGTCTATCAGATTTTTCGTGTAATCTGGGTGAACAATTCTGACTATTCTCTTCTAGCCCTCTGTATCATACCCCACTGTCAGTAACATTATTGCCTGTTTCTCCAATGCTCTCTCCGGTGCTTGTTAGAGAAATGAGATACAAAGTGCACTGCGGGTCAGCCCCACACCGGCATTAGGCATTACAGCAAGAGAGAGCACAAATTGTAAAAATAATTATAATAATACTGTTTGTTTTATACTACATTAATAAGAATCTGTTAAGAATTTAGGGTAAGTTATCAATGCAGGAAAAAATAACGTTATTTGAAATGGACATTCTGAAGTATATTGCTAGTATGAAGGATCTCAAATGTTGTAGCTGCATGCAGATGAGTACAGACTCAATTCACTCACTACCATTTGTTTTTTACCTTCCAACTGTTTTTTAATAGAGGTCATTTGAGTAGGCAAGTATTGGAGTTATTGTGAAATTGCCTGCCAAATGAATTATACATTACAGAATATATGTATAGATATTGATTTTTCTTGTCAGAGTTGAATCTAGAGAGCTCCTGCACATGAATATTGTTACTGTATTTATTAAAGTGTAGAATATATTTGGCTTAAAAGGTTTAGCAAAATTATAGCTACCCAGAGGCACATGTACAAGTAGTAGTCCATATGGCCATAGTAATGTCTTTCATGTTACTGTTCTAAAACAGCCTGTGTAAAAAACAAACCATATGTTACAAATGCATTGTGCAAAGCTATGATTCTTTTGTGAAATTGCTCTGTGTAAACATAAAAAGACTATGACTCAGCCGTAGCATTGATGTACAGAAGACAGCAAGTCTTTTGATTACCCTGGGTAAAAATTACTTTTCATGTGCCTGATGTATTTCTGTTTTGAAAGAAAGTGAATGCATCCTGCCTGGAACACTGGGTTTGGAGTAGATTTAGGGTTAGGGTTAGGGTTAGGATCACATGAAGTTTAGGGAAGTAAGCCAGAAAGATAGTCAATAAAGAGATGGGTCATATAGTCGATGTTATGTTACTGTCTCGGCTACAATACCATATGGATACTGATACTGTTGGTTTGTTGAGGTAGAGGAGTTTCCTACCTTTCCTGTACACACTTGATCAGTGAAATATTCTGCTTGGCATATGTGTTTATGTTGCTGTGTTTGTGTTGAAAAGACTCAGACTCTTTGCTATTTGGTCCCTCGTGTTTCATCTCAGCCGTCTATAAAACTCTGTGAAACTGAAAGCTTTTCATTACGAGAGAGAATAAATAGAGTATAGTTTGGATTTCAGCTTTGTAAAAAAAAGGCCTTTTTAAGGGTGTATTTTCAACTTCACTTCAACAGATAGCATGATATATCTTAGATTCATGCAATATGCAGTAGCATGTATTGCAAAATCAGCTCTGTGGAGATGTTATTGTTATCCTGGGAAAAAATTCATGATGTCAATATGACAAGAACTAAATGTTGACTTCCAGGCTGAGGTTGTGGAAGTTTTGTAAGATGGAAACTTGTAACAGTTTTTAAAGAATAAGTCTGAAATACATTCATACTCATTAACAGATTCGGTCAATAGAATAATTGCATACAAACATTGAAAGAAATGCTTCTAGGAATTGAAGCATCACAGTGCCTTTGAGCTTTATCTGTCTGATCAGAGTGTTTCTTGCTTTTCCAGGTGTTTGCGTGTGAACCCTAAAGGTCTGGATGAGGAGAGTAAAGACTATCTATCACTTTACTTGCTCTTAGTCAGCTGCCCAAAAAGTGAGGTGCGCGCCAAGTTTAAGTTTTCTATCCTCAATGCCAAGGGAGAAGAGACCAAAGCCATGGGTAAGTCTGACCCTAGCCTGAAACAACTGATACTGACTTGCACTCTGAAACACATACACGTCCCTCATTTTCATTTCTACCACTTCTACACTTTTCTTAACTTTTTATTGGAAAATAAGTTGGTGTTAATAACTGAAAAAAAACTTGCAGAGAAGTCTACGTTCAGCAGAAAACTTGAGCATATCTCAAAGTTTGATAGGTTGAAAATTAAAAACTCCTGTCACACCTGTGTCTTTGGGGCGCTGAAATTTGTGAATGTAGGAGGTGGGGAGTGTGTCTAATACTCCAAGTGTGTCTAATAATGGGAGGTATTGATAGCCGTATGGGCTTGTGTAATCACTGCTGGTTGGATTCATTTCTGGTAAATATATAATTCAAAGTAGTGTGGGGCAATTTTGATTTTAATTAAAAAAGACCCAACCTTTTTAGAAGTCCTCGTCCGCCTCTCTCCCTGTTGATGAATTGGAAATGAATCCTGCTTTTTTTTTTAATTAGGTTATGTTATGGGGAGGAAAAGCAAACTTGTGTGGAATTGAATTAGTGAGGGCCAGATGTGACCGCTTCCTGGTTATCAGGCTTTCTGGCTGCCTCCCTCTCTCCCAGCGCCCTGCAGCATACTGTACAGGAAGCATGGAGGAGGGAGGATGGGGAGGGGAGTTAGGGAGAGGAGAGGAGAGGTGGGAGGCGGAAGTGTGTTTGAATCGAAGGCGTATGCAGTGTAACTGTGTACAACCCCCTGCGGTGCAGGTTGTGTAGAAAGGGAAATCATTTTTCCTGCTGAGAAATATTTCCCCCATGTGAACCTGACACCCCCGCCCCCTCCTGTGTACTTGCAGTCCCTCATTTGCTCACTTAGACCTCTCTCTCCATTCTTCTGCATTCACGGTGTCACTTAGTTTTTCTTTTATCCTTTTATTCCACTACTGCCCTGTAATGTTGGAACTCTCAGTGACAGTCTCACGAAAACAGAACCTCACTGCAGTTATTGTCCTTTAAGCTTTCTCTCCTGGCCATAATACTGCTGGTGGCTACATGATATTGTGAAGAGGATTTGCCTGCGTATATTTGCCTGTATGAGTAATAAACAGACCTTTGAGGCGTTTGACTTTACTACTTGGCCATTGCGTGAGCACTGCTCCCTTAAATGACCCCCGAATTGCCTGAATGTGGGGAATACCGAGTGAAGTGAAGAGGATCTCATTTTCCTCTCCTTTCTTTTTGTGTCTCAAGGGGCTTTCGGCTATAAATGGTGTGCTCTATGGTGCACGCCCCATCCTATTCTTGCCATATGCCCTCCTCCAATCTTCCCCCAATCCCCCTGGGGAGACCTGGGCCCTCCACTTCGCCCGCCCTGTCACAGGAGAAAATTACCCAACTGCCAGCATATTTGTGACAGTTTAGTGAGCACTCCGTCTAAGAATATGGCAGTAAAGATTGCTCTATCGGTTCTGGATCATTTAGAATCCAATTTAATCCAAACCTCAAGGAAAAAAGGCCAAATAAAAACAAAGTGCCTTAATTAAGAAAGCTGGGTGGCTGTGGACTGTTTATGTGGCAGGTCACTGCTCGACCTGCTTATACGCCTTTGTCCCTGTGGGACAATTTTTAATACAGTGCATATTATCTGTGTATTTTAAGTAGTAGTAGATAATCAGTAAGAAAGTAAAGTTTTGAAACTGTAGTGGGTACAGGGTATTGAAATATAGCAGAGAAACATTGCTATTGAAGACACATGTCAGAATCGTGCTGATGGAAATCCTCAGTGCTGAGCTGAAGAGCTGAAGTTTGTGTTGGAGGTGTCGGTTTGGATTTCTGACTCTTGTAGCTTTTGGATGAGGCAAACTCTCGCTTACAAGCCAGTTTCTGTCACTAATGCAAAAGCACTGGCCATACACATGTTGTTTTATTTTCCCCGGACTCTGAGCAGGTATAACATTTTGATTTGTGTTGATGTGTTGTCTGGCTCGTGCACACTGAGAATTAAAGTATCCCTGCAGTACATAGAGGAGGAGCTATAAATACAAGGCTTCAGTACGATGGCAGATTTTGACTGGAAAGCTTGACATTATCTGATGAAACACCACATCTGCATCAGTCAGCCCTTAAGCCCCCCACTAGAGAGTGTGCGTCTGTGTCTGGATCCTCTGATGGTCCGTGCTTGCTAATGGAGATAGATTCAGGCAGCGGTTGCAGCCCACCACCCCCTCCCGACACCATACTCCCGTACTCTCGGTTTGGCCACATCATTTCTCTCTGTGGCTTAATGTGCTGGTTCTCTCCTCTGAGGCTTCTGGTGGGTTGTAACTTGTCTCTTGACACCCCTCCCCCTTCTCCCCCTTCTCCCCCTTCCTCCTCCTTTTGCCAGAGAAAACATCTGCCCCCCTGCGGACTCCTGTTCTGACAGCTCGGAGAGGAGAAATGGAAAGTTCTCATCCTCTGTCGCAAGCTCTTTTGTATTCAAATCGTCTCCTTGTTAAGTCTCCCCTGCAGACAATGGTTTTGTTGTGTTGTAGCCAACGGCAAAGTGAGCTTATGTGTGTATGAGTTGGCCGGAGAGTCTAGTTATGGCAGGTTTTGGTGTAGGCTGCTTGTATATTTTGGAGCTGGAGATTCAGTGTTTTTGGTTTTGGTTAATTGAAGCTTTGGGTTTTTGAGCTTGTCAGAGTCTGTTGCCCTCAGTAACTGATGGAGGTGATCAGGCATTCTGTGTGGGTGAGTGGAGCACGGCTAATAGAGTAGAAGCTATTGGTCAGTCTTTACATAATCAGATGGTATTGACATTGGTAGAAAGAATGTCAATAAACACGTTTGTGCTGACACGAGCTTATAGAGCTCAATCTTCAATAGAGATTAGATTTTCTTCTCTGTGTGTCATGTTTATATGTGTATCTGTCTGCTTTATGCCAGCCAATGTGAATCAGTGTGTAGAAGGAATAAAGTTTTAAATTAGGATTTTTTAAACTTTGTTACCCGTGAGATAAATGTATACTTGTATGGGCTGCGGTCTTCTCAGTTAATGGCTATGCTAATTGCCCTTTCATGTCAATAGTATGTGAACGATTGCGCGTGTGATCTGTTGGTGGCTGTGAGTAATGGTTAGTGAAGGGATTTTGCTAAAGTCGAATGTGTGAAAGATAAGGCCAGAAGAGTGACAGACAGGAAGAGAGATGTTGACTTTGGCTGCTGTGTCGGCTGTTATTTTTCTACATGCCGGCTCGTCTTCTGGCGACCTTCTCGTTCTGTGTGCCAACCGTGCCCCTGAGCCCTCCGCCTGAATATGGATGCCCTGCTCACTTAAACACCATGGCATAGCTCCCGCTTTCCTCTTCTTTTCTCTGTCTCCAGCTCAGACATAATTTTTCTCACCTTCCTGATCACCTTCAATCTTTTTCTGGCAGGGTGAGAAACTTCACTCTTCACTGCCGGGAAACTATCAAAGTGCACCGCAGCATGGTAAAAACTTGAGAATCCTCTTCATGGTGCTTACACACATCCACATTGTAACTGTGATTTTTCACACAAGTTCCACAATAAGAGTCCCATATGTTAATGAGCTCTATATGTCATCGCCATAGGTGCTGTGGGACTTAACACAATCTACTATGTGCACTTGTTAATATATCTTTTTTACCAGTCTTTTTCATCTCTCACTCATCACTTTTCCCTGTTGGATATCTCAGTTGTGCCGACCCCCTCCATCAGCTTCCAGCTCTCTTTGGTATTCTGGCAGAGTGGTTGCACTCCTGCCACCTTGGCCAGCTCACTGAAAGAGTGAGTGCCAGCGATCTGACCTGCAGTTGATTCTCTGCCAGTGCAGGTTTCTGATGCCCCACTAGAGATGGCAGCGTGACATTAGCTGAGCTCAGCACACACACACACACTCATCATCGGTGGCTGTATGCATGTGCACATTCACACACACACATGCACCTCACTGTCACGGGTAAGCACTGAAGAAGTCACACCTCTCTCTTTCTTTCCCTTTAGTCTGCTGGAGCTTCTTTCAGCATTCCCTCTCACCTCTCCTCAACTCTTCCTCTTGGCTTTCTTCCCCCCCCCGTCTCACTCTCCTGCCAACCTATCTCACACCCGAGTTTAGCTTTAGATACTGCCACTGGGGAAGTCCTCACTCATCGCTGCTAGTCTCGTTTCATACCCAAATAACACAACTTCACAAGGAGATTCTTGGCCTTGGGACTTCATCTGGGTCTCTCATGCTTGGTCTTATCAAATATGTTTAAAGGACATGAAAGAGAGGGTGAAAGTCAGTAGAGAAAGAGTTTCTTCAGACCTTTGAGAGTAAATCCAGGTGCTAAGTCTATTGCTTTGTGTCTACCCAGCCAAAAACAGTACAGTGTAACAAGGCCACAGAAGTTTGACTGTCTTTTCAAACCTGCTCGACTGTGGTTGAGAAATCTCATTGTCTTTTTTGGAAACACTGACACTCTGTTACACACGGTAGCAGAACAATGAATAAAGTAGAGTACTGTGAAAAAGTGGAATGCATAGATTTGTAATTTTTGTGCATTGGCTTGCATGCATGCTTATGCGGATGTGTGTGTGTTTGCATGGTGATTTCTGTCAGCTTCTTTGCCTACACAGTCTCCAAAGGCAGGGGATTACAGTGAAGGACCCCCTGCATGAGCAGTGGTGGGAATAACTGCATATGCACTGCACTCCTCCACCAATCCCCTCTTCCCTCAGATCCAAACAGGGGATTTGACAAAGGATCTTACGGCAGCATTGATACTTCAGTGCTTCCCACTGTGATCTGTCAGCAGATCTCCTGTTGCGATCTCTGAGCAAGAGCAGCCTAAAGACCAATCTGTATGAACTGCTGCGGCTAAACGCATGTAGTGTGCACACACTGCAGTTGTGTGAACGTGAGAGGTGATGACCTCTTCGTATGTGGTGACTGTGTGGCTTATAGCTTGTTTCAGTCGACTTTTAACAGGAGTCTTTTCCTACTACATGCCCTTTAACTGGATCTAAAGAAGACCCAAAGGCTGTCTTTATCGCTTTTCATCATCTGGCTTTAACACGTGAATTGAATCTAGATTGTGGATGCATATAGCTTGTTTGCGTGTCCCATTTAAATCTTATAAATGATAAACTGAAGGCTTTGAAAGGTACTGAATAAATCAGCTAAATTGGGGGTTAAAACTTTTGCATAGTGTATTTGGGTAGTTTTCATTGTGATGCTTTTGTTAGTTGTTTTTTTCTTATTTCCCATTTTAAAAGTCTAGTTGTATTTTCACTTCATGGCATTTCATGTCTCTAGGGATACCATACGAACCGTTACATTAGAATAATTCTCATGCACAGGTTGAAATCAGATGTCTCTTGCAAATCACAGCCTGCTAGGCATCTCACTATCCTCTTAATACTTATGTCCCACTCTAGGACCTCTCTGTTGCGTTTGCATGTATGCTTTCTGATTTAATTTATACACAAATTGATTTGATATACTTTATGTAGATTGGGGGCATATCGCTTTTACACATTGTCAGTACAGCCAAATGAGCACTGCACAACCTCTTCTAGTGATTTGATATTAAGAGTGTTTTTAGTGAATTTGCTTTTGGATTGTGTTTCTGCTCTTTGTCGACACAATCCAATCATTCAGATGCATCTTACATCATGTGTATAGGTCATGTTTAGGAGGATCTTGATGACATCCGCCAGAGAAATGAAAAGAACTGAATAATAAATTGATTTCTAGTGGTACCTATGTAGCTTCTGGTGCATTTTCCTGACTTTGATCCCATATAACCCTTTGCAGGACAGGATACATAATAACGGACATCCTTAAGTTATTACCATAATCATGTGGTGAGGCTACCCTGATAGGAATGGACAACAATGTCACCATACACAGAAAGGGTCTGTCACTGAAGCTTGGCTCAGCTGAACACATTCAGAAATCCCAGAGCAGTGCCTGAGGAAGCATTTTCTTCTCATTACAAAATGGCGAATGATGTAATTTCTCCAAAGAATGGTGTTACGTTGCTCCAACGGAACTCCAGTTACTTGCAAAATTTATGCGTTAGTGGCTTGCTCTCTTTCTATCAGCAATTAGCTTTAATTTGCTGTGATCTCTGTGGCAGTCATAGTCCGCAGTCATTATCTTTTGACCTCGTATGTGAGCATTTGTGACTGTTAGGTGACTGTAGATAGCTGTTACCGCCCCCACAGTGTGACTATTGTACACACAAGAACTCCAGCACCTTTCCTGTCTTTGTAGTGCAACTGAGTGTTACAGAATCCTTCCTGCCACTGTCAGAGATAATTGGCACTCCATAAACACATGATAATTGGACCGCTTTGATCCCTGCAATTTCTCACTTCTTGGCCAAAGAGGCACAGCAGTTCTGTCTCATGTTTACCACTAGTCTTTATGTGGCAGAGGATACAGAGAGTGAAAGAGGGAGAGAGAGCGATTCTGTTTTTCTTGTGTGTTAAAAGCTCCCTGCAGGCAATACTTCCTGCACCCAGCCTCTTTCGCCATTGTTCCTCCGCTGCTTATGGCCATGACTCATAACAGACTTTCTCTTTAGCGAACACATTAACACACACAGAGCTTAATCACGTTGTGAAAGTCTCCAAATAATCTTGTTTCTCCTTGTTTGTCCGTGTGTTGTCTCTTCCAGAAAGCCAGAGGGCATACCGTTTTGTCCAGGGGAAGGACTGGGGTTTCAAAAAGTTCATAAGGAGGGACTTCCTGCTGGACGAGGCCAACGGTCTGCTGCCCGATGACAAATTAACACTTTTCTGTGAGGTAGGGGTTGAGTGAGTTTATCTGAGCAAAGGGTTATTTGTGAAACACCCACTGTCTTTACTTTTAAGCTCCAAATATTTCCCAAAGAAATTCATAGTACAGGCTGCGGATTCAAAAATGATAATCCTGATTTTATTGCTTTTATGAATAATTATTTATCAAATGAGACATTTTAACATTGCAGACAAACACAGACTTCTATGATTAACCTTTCAAATAAAAAAATTTGATGTTGGATCACTCTGATGCTGAGCTGTGTGTACATTCATAGAACTACTTACCCCCATTTTAATAGAATCTAAAAATAATGAAATTGTTTTGAAATATCTAAATGTATTGTTTGTATTGGTGGTTTTTCCTTGGAGTGATCACAACTGTAATTCTTGTCTCACTCATCTTTTTATTCAACACTACTGCTCATTGTATGTCCCTATTAATGTGAATAATGTATGTTTTTATTGGTACTACATAGCCTCTGGGTTTAGGGCTCTCTCTCATCACTAACATACAAACTGATTGTCATTCAACCGGCATGGTGGCTTGGCTCCGATTCCTCTGATCCAAAGCTGGCTGCTGCTCCTCATTGAAAATTCCCTTGTTGTTTTTCAGCCGTAACACAGGGGGCAGCAGAGGTCAACTGTCCTCTCTCTCGTTCCCCTCTGCTCCTCATAATGGAACCAGGGAGCAGAGAAGAGGTTAAACTTTCTGGATATGTTAATGCCTTAGTTGTAATGCATGCACCCATAAATGTTTAAAAAGCATGGCAGTGGCTGTTTAAAACAATTCTAATTAACCCTGCGGGTATGGAGGAGAGCATGTCTTGAAGTTTTCCCTTTTTGTAGCGGAGCAATGTGCAAGTCTGTTTAAAGTGTTTCCAAACTGGGCTTATTGACAGAGGGGTAGGAGGGGCAGTGGCGCTTCTCCAGAGCCAAGTGGGATCGGGGGTAGAGTCGTGTGTGTGTGTGTGTAAGAGTATCTTATGCATATATTGTGTGTGTTCGTGCAGGCGTGTCTCATTGGGATGCAATTTTGAGGATGAGTCTGTTCGCTGGAGAGAATGAGCTGGAAAAAAGAGAGGGATTAGTTACCTTGAAGAGTCCTCTCTCACTGAATTCATCCACTATCCTGAAGGGGAGGAGGCGGGGTTGCTGGTTCAAGTCCTCGGTGGCCACTTCCTCCCCCGGAAATATCTGTTGTACCGTGGTAATTAGCAAACTCTGCTGATGAACAAGCAAGGCAAGGCAAACCCTGATTTATATAGCACATTCTATACACAAAGAAAAATCAGTGTGCTAAATATAAAAACTGTGTACTACAAAAAAAGATTAAATGAGAATAGAAGCAGATTAATAAAAAAGGCAGAGAACATTTACTGTATTTTCAAGATTCAAAAGTAGTCTGCGGTCCTATGGAAGTTTTCTCCACTTCTCTAACATAATAACTTAAAGGAGCAGTGTGTAAGATTTAGGGGAATCTATCTGTAATAATATAATGATTTCATAGGCATGTTTTCATTAGTGTATAATCAGCCTGAAAAATAAGAATCTTTGTGTTTTCATTACATTTCATGAGCCCTCAATATCTACAGAGGGAGCCAAACCAAACAATGACTCTAGATAAGGCCTTTCACATTTTTTCGAGTTTCTCAACCAACTTATGTTCTCCTATGCGCTTGGAAGGGAAGGATAAGGCGAGGGGTATTCAGTCGGTTGCAATCTGCAACCCCACCGCTAGATGCCACTAAATCCTACACACTGATCCTTTTAGCTTTACTAAGTTTTAAACCTGGAAAAAATTTAACAGAACAGCCCCAGATGACCCGAGAGGTCTGCAGAGTTAATATTCTGAAAGCAAGTCGGAGACTTAATAGATAGGCAGCAGTATTTTAAAATCAATTCTAAAACGTGTGTGAGTGTGTGTGTGTGTGTGTCATAGAAAAAAAAAGCCAGTCTGGAACTAGGATGTTTGTGTGCAGTAAATGATGAGATTGCCAACAGTGAGGTCTGGTTGCGTTTTCCACCAACACACGCCTGACAGTTTGGCGGAGTTGGGTTTTGGGTGGATGGTGGTAAGAAAGTGCTGAACGGGTGTTTGAATCTCTTTTCCTGGTCTTTTTCCATGTGAAAGTGAAGCCCAGTGTTTACCGTCAGAGACCTGGCTCCGCTTTCGTCCAGATGGTCTCGTCCTGCATCTGAGAGAGCCCCGTTGCCCCAGAGCCCGGCTCTCTCCCTCTTCTCTCTTCTCTCATCCCCTCCACTTTCTCTTTTTCCCCTCCATCTTATCTTTCATTCAAACCCAATCTCCTTCTCCTCCTTTCCCTTCCCCTTTCATCTCTTGCTGCCTCCCACTTTGAGCATCACAGTTTGTTTCCCTCCTCTCCTCACTCTACCTTCACTTCTCCCCCGCGTCCCTTGTCCCCCCTCTTTGCTCAACCCTACTTTTCCTTCCTCCCTCTTTGACCTCTTTCGTCTCCCATCTTTTTTCCTCTTTTTATTCTGTGTATCTGAGTGTCAAAGAGGCGAAAAGGCTATGAGGAGAAGCCAGATCACCGTGGGAGGGGGATACTGGCTCAACCTCTCTTCCTGATCCCTGGTCCCTGTGCTCGGTTCATTTGCCTCCGGAGACATTAGTAATTCAAATTTAGCAAAGGGAATCTGGCTATATGTCATGTCGTAGAGGGTCTGAACAACACTAGTGGCCGGTCTCTCTCTCTTCGTCTCTCTCTATGCCTCCATCTCTCTCTCATTCCGTCCCTGCCAAAGCGCTGCAGACACCTGCAGGTATTTAATGAGGAGATAGCTCCCATTAAAGGTGCTGCGTTGGCTGTCAAAAGAGAGCATGAGGGGACAGAGAGAGAAAAAGAAGAAGGGGAAGGAGGCACAGCAAGAATAGATTGAAGGAAAAGCCTTCTCAGGAAAAGTGGGCACACTGGGTGGCATGGAGCCACGGGGGTGAAGAACAGACAAAGAAAAAAAGAAAAATAAAGATGATACAGGATAAAAAAACAAAAGGCCATGATGGTTTTGATTGGTTTTGGTCCTAGAGAGACCCCTCCTCTCTTTTTTTCCCCGTCAGCGCTGCAGGTAACCTCTTGCCTTAAGGTCAAAACATTGCTATCTAGCCACTCATGCTATAGATAATGCAGATACTCTGGAAGTTTTCCAAGTAATACCAAACACACACATTGGGGTCCTATGGCTCCAGGAAAATCTCGACATCTTTGTGCTGTCGTGATTTGCCTGCAGGCAGAGCTGCGTTGACTGACACTGTAAGGGTTACTACTCTGGAAGTCTGTTTTGACTGACTAAAGGGAACAGAAGGGGTTGTCTTGGAAGGGAGAAGTTTATGGTGAAATGTATCTGTCAGTCATGTTAAATTGGCTGCTGAAAAGTGGAGGAACACAGTGGTCCACCTTTACTTAGCCAGAAGGAGAATCAGAGAGCTACTGCTGCCGGACACATTTGATTTATGTCACAGAGGAGATAGTCTACTCCTCCCCAGTCTGCTGTGGCCTCGGGTGCAACATGCAGGATAAACCCTGATATTCTCTGCAGCTACCATGCAGACACAACATACTGTATCAGTTATTACTCTGCCTTAGCCATTGATAGGCTACATTGTATCTGTCTTTGCCTTAGCTGACTGATACTGATATACTGATTTCCCAAAAAGTGTGTGACTGTTTGACTCAGAGGAAGGTAGGTGCATTAAGTACATTAACAAAGCAGTGTGCCTTGACTGTTTTTGGAATTCATTCTCTTTTTTGTGGACATTGATGCCTGTCTGTGCAATGTGCATCAAGAGCACCTGTCTTGGGTCCCATCGCTCTCAGATCAAAAAGGTGCTTCCTCATTGTTGTTTTATACTGATATATTATTTTGCCAATAAGGACTCATGTTGGCCTTTTATTTAAAATGGCATTGATTTTATTCAAGTTGCAAGTTGTGCAATTGAGAACTGCTGCATATTTGGATCCTGTCTTATTTACACATAAATTAAATGAGATGCGGGAGATGAAAAGAGTTTTCACTAGATTTTTTTCCAGGTTCAGTAAACATCACTGTGAAGTGCGACAGAGGAGAGAACAGCTTTTGCGCCTGTTTTGCAGGCGCAGATGTGACAAATTCTTCCCCAACCATATGTGTTGTATTAATCATACAGACGCACCAGAATGGAGTTGCAGTTTATGTGTCATTTACAAGTGTCTGTAAGGTGCTCCTCTCTCCTCATTGCATATGCATTTAAGGTAAGATTGCACAAATAATAGGGGGAAACATGTTAACAGAGGTTGATTATGTATTCCACTGGATTTACTGCACTGAGGTCACACTCTTTATGATTATCAGTTTTGTGGGAATTATTTGCCTGTGACAAGGAGGTGTAAACATTTAGAAGAGCCACAAGGAAGATTGCAGTGGGAAAAAGAAGGGTCATTAAATATAGGCTTGTATAGAACCAAACATGGATTATTAGAAGCAAACATTAAGAAATAAGGCTGTGATTAATGAACATGTTATATGATTACTGTCGAATGAAACTGAAGATGTGAGAGGGGTAGTTACGAGACAGATTTAAATGTGATCCTTCAAATGTGTTTATATCACTCAAAAGTGGGCGTGGCTGAGCAGGTACAAGGTGATATGGAGCTTGTGAGATGCTCACCTGTGTTGGTCAGCTGTTGATCAAGAGGATGAGGGGGAGATGTATGAAACAGACCATAACCACATTATTTGTAAATGTAAATGTCTCTTCTTGGTTACAATCCATCACAGAAATACTGAGCTACTACAACCCACAACTGACAGACAAGTCAGGTCATATGTGGTTTTATATGACAGGCGGGGTTAGCTATAGAGTGGTCGGTCCAGATCAAATTTGACTAGATAAATATATGTATATGCCCCTAAGTTCTAGGATAGTGTTTTTTTTCACTGTGTCTTTAAGATACAAGATACAGTAAAAGATAGGGTTAGCCAGTTAAACCAGTCATGCAGGCTTAA